AGTGGGCAACTTGAATGCCTTCCAAAATAACTTCCAAATTACCTTCTATAACCAGCTCATTCTCTGGCATTTTCTGATGCGTTGATATGCGTTGAGTATAAAGCAGCGGAGAGATGATTTCGCCTCTGCGCATCAGAATACAGCTGAGAAAAATGAGAAAAGTAATACCAAAATGATCGAGATTCCAAGAGCAAAACCGCAGACATATCTTGGCCAATTGGCCAATCCCCTCCTCCACATCTGGAACACGTCCCTCAATCAGTTCTCGTCGCAGCAATTCCTCCCTCTTTGTCGGTCTTGCCACCTGCCAAGGCCAAAATGAAGTCCAAAGGAGTCCAAGGGAGCCAAATCAGATATAATCAGATTCTGAAAATGAAAAAATATGAAAATATCAAATATAAAGATGTGTAAAGATATGTAAAAATGTGCAAAGTATATAAAGGGATCTAAAGGGATCAAAAGCTTGAACAAACTGTGAGTACTTTGAATATCTTTGAGATAGATTGAATGATTTGAATGATTTGAATGATTGAATTTTGTTTGATTTTTCTGTTTGAAAAAAACTGCACAGTGCTGGCCTGGCCCGGGATCTGCCTCGAAGGTCTGCTCTTCAGCAGCCGTCGGATCTCGCCCCAGGTCCGGACCTTTGAACCGAGGAAAAGCAGAACGAAAAAGGACACAGCCCATCTCCGAAATCGCCGAAAGACAAAACGCAAAGGGACACAAATCAAAAAAAAACAAAAAATGCATAAGATATAAGAAACACATCCAAAACAAATGACATAGACTGACATAGATGTGGCTGTCACGTGACGTTCAAATGACATCGAAATAGACGTGGGTATAGAAGTCTTGATAGAACGAAGTAGAACAAGTGACGCGTTCGAAGCATTGGCAGCCCCCTTTGAGCATCGGTCATCCGAGGCATCCAAGGCATCCGAGTCTCTCTGCGTCAATGGCTAAGCCGGGCACAAGAAAGGGGTGCTTGCCGTAGCCTCTGCCATACCTGACAGACTTTCAAACTGCAAACATTAGCGGTCGAGCAAGAAGGCAAAATGATGCGACATGCCTGTGACATGCCTGTGACATGCTTCTGATCCCCCGAAGCATCCGTTGAGAGTTTTGACCTGTTTCAAGCGTTTCAACACGTTTCAAAGCATTTCACGGCTCTCCGGCTTTGAGCCTCACTTTTTGCTGCACAATTCGTTCAGTAGCGCGGTACCTCGACAAACCAAAATCGAAAATCATGCAGCTTTCATGAATGTACTCATTCTAAATCAGACAAGGTCACTTCAGCTCAGATTCTGGTTCCCAAACTCAAAGTTGTCATTCATGTGTCATGCGTACGTCATTCCTACGTTCTGTACGTTCAAGTTCAAATCTTGTTTTTATCTTGCGACTTCTTTCACGTGTTCGTTCATCCTTCTGTTAAGCTAAGGCACGGCTCAACCTCAGACAGCCCCAAGCGCGCGGCCAAGTGCACTGGCTGACGCAAGAAACATCGAACTAAAAACACATCATAACAATCTAATTTATTTAGGACATTAAAATACAATTGATAAGAATAATATTTAGAGGAACGTGGACACTGACGAACGATGTTGTAAACATCTGTATCAAAATGCCAAAGAATGAAGAATGAAATCAGTCCAGTGCAGAGGAAGCAAGGAATGAAAGGGAAATGTGTTGCCGGTTCTTCAGTTGCAATGTGAAAACACATGTCTCAATGAAAACACATTTGCCGGCAAGAGGTGTCTCAACATGGGAAGCTCTTGAATTTCAAAGTGCACACCGTGCACACCCCGAATCACACGTCTCTGGGCAACCCACTACCCGAGAGATAGGAGCCTCGCAGGAAAGTTCAAATTAAGCGACGGCACTGCAACCGCAATCTTCCCGCGTGCTATCTCGGATGCTACTCATCGAAAAGTCCAAAACAAAGCGAATTTTAACAACATGATACAAAATGCAACACAAACTCAGTAATTACATGTCAAAAATCAGTCAATTCTTGTACCAATTTTGCTTGCCAAATCATGTGACAATTCAGCCAACTACTTCATGGGTCAACATGTGTCAACATGGGTCAACTCAACAACTGTGCTCCCCAATTCTCAGCCTCTTTTGGAATTTGGACACTCCCAGGAAACACTGGTTTCCTGAAACAAACATGTAAAGTTGCAGCGACATGAGGTTGAGAATCGTTGAGAACGGCTAACATTCAACTTTGTAGCTACTTTGAATTACTTGGAGCCACTGCAAAAGCAGGCTTGACAGTCAAGTCTAGTTGAGTCTCAGGATTTGTCTTGATGAACCTTTTTCTCTTGCAATCTCTCTTGCAATCTCTTGCACGTTCGATGTTTGTATCTCTCCAAGTTCGGAAATAAAGACAGGATTGGAACATATTGAAGTTTTTAATCGTGGCAATGTGAGCTGTTCATGAAACTGCGCAAGATTGTGGTCGCAGCTCCAAATTCACTACATGTGAGAAATGTGAGAAAACTATAGAAAACTGAGACTTTCTGCATCTTTCTGCCATGTGGCAGTTCTGAACTCTTGGAATTCTGCAGCACAGCGGGCGGGGCTGTGGCAGCAAGGCTGGATGAAGCCACTGCCAGAACCAACAGAGCCTGAGTCGCAAAACGTCGCAGCGAATTTGCACCTGCAACTTGTCTCAACTTGTGGACTCTTCCATTGGTTGTAGGTCAATTGTAGGTGCACTCGTTGCACTGTTTGGCTTTTAAAAACTCACCCAACCTTTGCCGATCAGCAAATGTCTTTACACATCGTGAATTCCGAGCTACTGCGCCCGCTATGGCCTTCCACCTCAACAGGAAACCAGAGGCCATGGTTACAATAGGAATGCGGCAAGAAATTCATGGCATGTGTGGAACATGGATTGATGATTGATGGTTCCAAAATCGTCTGAAGGATGTCTGTTCAACCGTGAATCTGACACAAAACACTGTAGATCGCTGTAGCAGATAGTATATATTCAAAAGATATCTTTGAATATATACTGTTTATATACTTAATATACTATTATTCATAGTATGTCGATTTATTTTCATTTCTTTGATTTCGTGGAAGCTGGTGCCTGGGAGGCCATCTTTCCGACCTTGCAGAGAAACAATGCGTCGCAAGGTGAAGGCATGGGTAGTCTGGATAACCTCCGGTGGTAACCTCCGGTAAACTCAAGGTGAAACCTCACCAGATTCAACCGGTTCAACCGGTTCAACCAGTTCAGTCCCTTCGTTTCTTTCTGAAAGTTTCTAAAGCTCTACAATCTCTGGGTCTCCAAAGGTCCAAATCGTATCCTTTGTGACGAAACAAAACATGCATTTTTTGCCTCTAAGGATTCGGATAATGCTCTTGCTCCGGGGGCCAACTAAGAAAGAACAAAATGGTAAAATGTTTTGTTCGTTCACCAAATTTGTCACTTTCCCGGCCTCATCTCCACACAGTTCTCGACATTTCGAGCTAAGCTTTGAGCCAGAGAAGCGAAAGACGTAACAAAAGTGGAAAAGGTTTAACATGTATTGTTGTTTTAGATGCCGTGTCTCAGAGGCTCGCGACTGCTGTCACATTTTGAGTATGAGTATTAAGGGGGTTGGGTGAGGTGAGGGGAGTGGGGTGGGCTGGGCCAATAACGTGCTTTGCTGTACGTTCTCACATAATGCTTCGCTGCTGTGCGTTCTGTTGCACTTACACTTAGGTCTTAGGTGATGATGACGACGATGAAGATGAAGATAAAGATAAAGATGAAGATGAACAGAAGAAGAAGAAGAAAAAGCAGAAGATGATGATGAGACGATGACGATGACGATGACAGTGACGACGACGACGACGATGATGATGATGATGAAGATGAAGATTGATGAAGATTGATGAAAATGATGAAAATGATGATGGTGATGATGATGATGGTGATGATGATGATTATTGTTATTATTATGAAAATGAGGATTACGATGACGATGAGGATGAGGATCACGATGACAATGAAGATGAGGATGATGATGCTGCTGATGATGCTGCTGATGATGAAGATTGATGATGATGATGATGAGATGAGGATGATGATGATGATGATGAAGATTGATGATGATGATGATGATGATGATGATGATGATGATGATGATGATGATGATGATGATGATGATGAAGATTGATGAAGATTGATGAAGATTGATGAAGATTGATGAAGATTGATGAAGATTGATGAAGATTGATGAAGATTGATGAAGATTGATGAAGATTGATGAAGATTGATGAAGATTGATGAAGATTGATGAAGATTGATGAAGATTGATGAAGATTGATGAAAATTGATGAAGATTGATGAAGATTGATGAAGATTGATGAAGATTGATGAATATTGATGAATATTGATGAATATTGATGAAGATGATGATGCTGATGATGATGATGATGATGATGATGATGATGATGATGATGAACATGTTGATGATGAACATGTTGATGATGAACATGTTGATGAAACCAAAATTTCGTTTTTCTCTTTCTCATTTCCCACCCATAGAATGTTTGAAAAGTGACAACAGTCGCAAGCCTTTCAGACACCCGGCACCATGTTTTACGTATATATAAATCATATATATATATGTATATTATGCACATATTTTATTGCATGTTGTATTATGCTGTTGTCATCTTTTATCGAAGATCCAAACCACCCGCAACTATTGCTGTGTACTTTGCTTTCTTTCTGTGAAAGCTATCTGACCTGTCCAAACTCAACTTCAACTCTACCATCTCTAAGGAATGGAGCTGACAGAGGCACCTTCTTGATCATCTTTGCCAACTCTTCCGATGCCACCTCAAACATCCAGACTGCACAACGTCCACTTGACGCGAACCAACTGACTGCTACGGACTGCTACGGACTGCTACGGACTGTTGCGATACGCTACGATACGTTACGTTACCTATTTTGATCCCTATTTCTTCGGGAAACGAGGCATAACAACGCGCCACGGCCTCCAGCTTCATGTCGCTACGCTGCTCGGTTTCTCGGAGCGCAACCTGCACATGGTGCCAGTAAAATGAGCACAGGCACCGTGGGAATTGGATGATTGTAAGTGTCACAGTAAGTGTCACAGTAAGACATGTGATGAAAAAAATATTTAAAAAAATCATTGTAATTACATGTGCTTACTACACAATGACATGTGATGAAATAAGTCATCTAGCTGACCTGTTTCCAACCAGACTGATGAGAATGTACTCAGAGTGGGGTGGGACCGCAACGGAAACATGTTAGGTTTTGAAGATTTTAAGGAACTAAGTGGGGAATATCGAACTTGTGTGAGGAACTAGGAATTACATTGACAACGCTAGGAAAGACAACGAAGGTCTATACATTCACTTGCTCACGGATATCTTTCCGTAGACTCGACGGATCTCAAAGAAGCGGGGAGGCAAAGTGCGAAGTCACTGTGGAGGTACGAGCAAGACAAATCAGTAGGTACAAGCGACCTCCCCATGGGTGCATCCATGTGCATCTGCCAGGTCAAATCACCATTACTTCAAAGTCTTCAAGTCTTAACATTCTTAACCTGTTTTGCTCTTCCCGATCTTTCTTGAACTTGGCCTGTCTTAGTCTTTTCCCAACTCGGAAACCAGATGTTGAGGTGAAATGTTGAACCCCGGCATTCAGAAAGCAAGGCTGCTCCCCACCTCAAGTGCATCTAGCCTTGCTGTCAATCTAGCATTGTCAACCTGAAGTGCAAGCAATTCCGCAAGTATTATCAAAGACTTGAAATTCTTCGCGACACCCTCAAGTGTTCTCAATTGCATCCTTTTCTACTTCACCCGTTTCAAAATTCTGACACGTGCACCACTGTGGAGAACTGCATAACCCCTGGTTTCATTGCTGCGATCCTCCAGCCCGCGGATCCGGATGAAGTGCAAGTGCTCTCTCACCTGCTCACATCTCAAAGAAACACAAGTCTTGCGTCTCAGTTTCTGGCAGAACCCCAAGCTACAGCCTTGACAGCGGTTTATTGCATTGCCAAGCAAATCCAAGCAATATGAAGCCTCTATGATGCACTCATCCGAGCCAGCGTTTGTCAAGGCGCGCTGCAAATCCTGAACAAAAAGTCCAATTTCTCTGAAACTGAAACAGCTGAAACTAGTCCGAAATAGTCCGAATATGTCTTTCAAAGATGTTCAAAGAGTCTTATTTCAACTTATTTCTCTCAACAAAGTCATACTGATTTGATATCATTGCAGAAACCAACAAATAAACCAAAAAAATAAACCAAGAAATGGTCGTTTTGAGACTGGTCTGCAAAATGGTATCAGCACATTGCATCGTGGACAAATAGTGGGCTCACCGCAGGGGTCGAGATCTTGCCAAAGGTGTCGTAAAAGTCATAGGAGCCTCATATTGGGACGTCGGACAATACTCATTGTACAATGCATTACAATTAATATATTTTAATACAATTACAATAAAATCAATACTGTATGGGACAATCATTCACATATCATTCACATTGCATTGGATTGCACACATCCTAAGCTGTCAAATGTATCTAATGTCATACATCTGCTGCACTGGGCCTGGTGGCAGCCCTAGTTTCTCTTCTGCATCCTCAGATTCAAAATTCAGACTTGGCCATCTTTGCAATCTAGCTGAATCTAGCTACCCGCTTAAGCCTTTGCTCTGACAGTACCAGCACAACAGCTTCAGTTCACCCTGAGCCGCTCCTGAAAGAAGGCTTCGAGGTTCTTGATGGACCGAACAGCCTCACAACCGACACAGAGATGCCGACTGAGGTGCAAATAGACAAAGTATATCAAAGTATGACAAAGTATGACAAAGTGACAAAGTGACAAAGTGACAAAGTGATAGTCTACTTCTGAATGCTCAGTGATAGGAAAGAAAAGCAGAAATGACGATAGAAAATCCAAGTAGATGATGTTCAAACATGTTCAAAATCTTCGAAAGCTGCTTGACAAATCTTGACAAGGTTATTCCAAAAGATACCTCGCACCCGAGAAGCCTCCGCTCCAGATCCCCTAGATATGACCTTGGAGCACACAGAGCACATGGAGCACAGGGTGCTCATCTCCTGTCCCTGTGAATATTCCGTGAATCTGAATCATTCTGTGAATCATTTGGAATTCAAATCTGTGATTCTGTCTGATGAGTTCCTGGCCCGCTTATCACCATAAGAAAATACCAAGGTGTGCGACATCCTGATACCACAACTTCCCACAATTTCCAGTGAATTTCCAATGACACAGGTCATCTGATGTCAACTTCGTAGTTCATATGGTTTCAATTCATTCTCAATTCATTTTTAATTCATTTCATACATCAGTCATCTTGACTCAGCATATCTCCTGGCCTCTAAAATCAGCCCAGTGCAGGCTCTGGCCTTCGCAAATGCTGAGCCAAGATGCCAGCGGCCAAGCGGCGAGCCAAGCGTTTCAAAAGCTGCAGTGTCCTCTGTCACTCCTGTTTTCGTTCCTCGATGCTTCTCGTTCCATGTCTCGTTCCATTTCTCAACATAACTGAGACAGACCACGAATGAAATGCGAATTTCATTTCACGTGAATGTAAATGGGTAACAAATTTTCTGAAAGAATACATAAGGAGACAGGTCTTGTGATGCTTTTTAGCCATCTGACTAAACATACTTCATCATTCAACTTGCATTTCATCTGATGTTTGAGAATTATCTTTTTAAACACACAAAGTTTCAAAGAGTCAACGCATATTTTGGCTCTATGTGCTCTTCCGCAGCAGGTCAGCCAGAAAGTTCCGCATCGCACACTATGGTTCCTGTGTGCGCACATGCATTTTACCTCTTTGTGTCTTAACTGGACCCAGACCTTTGTCAAGACTATGGGGCAATGACTGAATGAATAGCTATATACATGTGCCGATTCATTCATGTCAAAATATGATATGTCACTGACTGTTCTATATACAACATCATGTCATAACCCGGTACAAATAGCATGATGTAATATATAAAATGTATATAATGTATATATATAATGTGTATATGTGATTCTATGATATTCTATGTGTATATTACATGTTTTTATAACTACCAATATTTTGACGTTGGCGGAACTCGTTGAACAGGTTGTCGAGACATGTCGAGACTGTGCTCCTCTCAGAGCTCAGTCAGTGAGCGACGCCGTCCACCCAAACGTATTTGCCTTGGCGAATGCGAAGCAACTGCCAAGTGACAGTGCACTACATGCCACTTTCAAGTTTCAACTGTGCCAATGCATCAAATTGAATATATCAACGTAGTTGAAACTTCAAACTTGTGGGAAAGTTGCCGACTTGTTTCATTTGTATGTCATTATTTTCGTTTCATCCTCTCACTTGGTACTTATTCCACTCAGCTTCGTGCTCAAGAACTTTTTGTGGAAGTCGCTTCGAACCTCACCAGTGTCCAGGATTGTCAAGTCCGAAACAGGATGCAGTGCGGCAGTGCGAGACACAGCGCAGGATGCTTTGCAGGATGCTGCGCGGAGAAAAATCTTTCGAACGACTTCGTCACACCAACGTGTCAGGTCTTGATCTGAGTTGGCTGACAGCGTCATTGATGTATCGCTGCTTCACTTTCGGAGCAGTTCTTGCCTAGTTAAGCCAGAACTCAAAGGATGTTGGAATCTAAACAAATTGGATCTAAAAAGAACTGGTCCAGAGTTCTGTCTTTGCTGGTATGCAGTACACCCGGTATGCAGCCAGCTCTATTGCAGCTCCATTAGAGTATCTAAGTAAGTTCAGTAAATGGTGTTTCTAAGCATACAAAGGTTTTGAATTAAGTCAGACATTGTAGAAACGCGTCGGATGCCGCAGCCTGGTTCTTGAAGACTGTGTCATCATCCCATCGCCTAACGGAAGCACAACTGCAGCAGATCATGCAGGACATGTTGAAAATGCTTTCGTGCATCTTTCATGTGTGCGCGCGCATTGGAGTGGGACATTTCGAGAACTGCTTGAATAGAGCATGTAGACAAACACAATTACCTTGCTGCTGGACAAACCCCTGTCCTTTTCAGCGATACGTCTGCTCCATCTGCTAGAAGAGGGTTGCCTTTCATGACTTCTTCCTAAGTGGGGAATCAGGTGGTCTTTCGCAAATCCAAGACACATTCACTTTGTTCCTCTCTGAGTCATTTGTGACTAGAGCAGGACTTATTCGGCTTGACAATACCTGATTCTTTTGATAGTATCCTTCAAGAATCATTGATAGAATCAAGCCATTCAGAATATTCAGAATTGCAGAAGTATTGTTAAAATTGCAGAAGTTTCGCATCAAGTTCCAGACCCTTTGTGCTCTCCTGTCTTGCTTTGCCTGAAGAGCCTCGCAAGAAACCCTGGAAGGCACAAAGCTGACAGACGCCAAGATTATTGAACCAACACAGATGGAAAAATAATACAACTACAGAAACCGATAGAAAACCAGGCGATGAAAAACAAGTTTTTTGAAAACTCGAAGTTTCGCCAAAAGGGCCAGGCCTTCTTCGCCTCTTCTTCTTCCTCTCGCTCTTTCTTGATCTTTGCAAGTTCACGCATAAGTTCCTTGCAGATCAGTTCATAGCAAGAGAAAACGCAACTCTGGTTCTGATCCAAAGTGGCAAACCTTCAGAATGTTGAAATGAACGAAATGAATGAAATGAATGAAAGAAATGAAATGAATGAAATGAATGAAATAAAAGTCAAGGCAAGAGCAACTTGAAACCTGGAATCACCAAACTCAGCGTGATCCAATGTAGACAGGAATCTTCAGCATCGTCGTCATCATCATCATCGTCTGGTCGGGCATAACAGCTTTCGAGACCAGATTCACGACTTGACTCAGAACAAATGTTTTAGACAACGTACTTCCACGCATCACCATAAAGTCTGAGATGTCTTGAAGCGCTCACAAATGCACACAGAGTTTGATCTCACAGTTTTCATATAAGAACCTAAGAACTAACCTAAGTGAGTCACCGTCGTGGTCAGTCTAAGTCTAAGTTGCACACCATCCTCTTCATCCTTCTTTTCCTAGCACAAGGTCTTCCCGCAGATCTTTAACATCACATCAATCACAAAAAGAGCTGAACAATGAGCCAGTTCCATCCTCCTCCTCGCTCAGCAACTCTTCGTCCGCATCCTAAGGCAAGTCTTCAGGTGACCCGGAAATGAAAGGGACACTGATGAACGAACTGATAGTTGCTGATAGTTACTGAAAGTTGTTGTATCACGATGATATCATTAAAAATTGTTTAAAAGAAAAAACCAGATGCAGCCCACGAACCCGAATGCAGTCACGTAGAACACTTTCGTGAAACAAGTTATTTGAATGGTCTACATTTTTTCCCTGTTACCAAACCCACTGTAGACTGAGGAATGTGGAAGAGGGTGGAGTGCAAAGTGTGGGGTGTGGAGTGTAAAGTGTAAAGTTGGACTGTGGAGTGTACAGGGTACATTGTGGAGTGTAAAGTGTTAAGTGAAAAGTGTAAAGTGTGGAGTGTGGAGTGCAAAGTGTGCAGTGTACAGGGTGCAGTGTGGAGTGCAAGAAGTGTAAAGTGTAAAGTGTGGAGTGTGGAGTATAGAGTGTGGAGTGTAAAGTGTAGAGTGTGGACTGTAAAGTGCAGAGTGTGGAGTGTAGAGTGTGGAGCTTAAATTGTAGAGTGTGGAGCGTGGAGTGTAAAGTGTGGAGTGTGGAGTGTGGCGTGTAGAGTCTAGAGTGTGAAGTGTAGAGTGTGGAGTGCAAAGTGCAGAGTGTGAGTGCGGAGTGTAGAGTGTAGAGTGTAGAGTGTGAAGTGTAAAGTGTGGAGTGTAAAGTGCGGAGTGTGGAGTGTAGAGTGTAAAGTGTGGAGTGTAAAGTGTAAAATGTAAAGTGTGGAGTGCGGACTGTAGAGTGTGAAGTGCGGAGTGTAGAGTGTCGAGTGTAGTGTGTGGAGTGCGGAGTGTAAAGTGTAAAGTGTGGAGTGTAAAGTGTGGACTGTGGAGTGTAGAGTTTGGAGTGTGGAGTGTAAAGTGTGGACTGTGGAGTGTAGAGTGCGAGGTGAAAAATTGTAAAGTGTGGAGTGTAAAGCGTAAGGTGTGGAGTGTAAAGTGTAAAGTTTAAAGTATGGAGTGTGGAGTGTGAAGTGTGGAGTGCAAAGTGTAAAGTGCAAAGTGTGGAGTGCGAATTGTAAAGAGTCTGAGTAGAGTGTGGGGTGCGGAGTGTGAAGTGTGAAGTGTGGAGTGTAGAGTGTGGAGTGTACAGTGTACAGTGTGAAATGTAAAGGGTAGAGTGCAAAGTGTGGAATGTAAAGTGTGGAGCGTAAAGTGTAAAGTGTGGAGTGTGGACCGTAGAGTGTGAAGTGTGGAGTGTAGAGTGTGGAGTGTAGAGTGTGGAGTGTAAAGTGTAAAGTGTGGAGTGTAAAGTGTGGAGTGTAAAGTGTGGAGTGAGGAGTGAGGAGTGTCAAGTGTAGAGTGTGTAGTGTGAAGTGTGGAGTGTAAAGTGTAAAGTGTGGAGTGTGGAGTGTGGAGTGTAAGGTGTGGAGTGTAAAGTGAGTGTAGAGTGTGGAGTGCAAAGTGTAAAGTGCAAAGTGCAAAGTGTGGATTGTGGGGTGTAAAGTGTGGAGTGCACAGTGTAAAGTGTAAAGTGCGGAGTGTACAGTGTAATGTGTGGAGTGTGGAGTGTGGAGTGTAAAGTGTAGAGTGTAGAGTGTGGAGTGTGGAGTGTACAGTGTGAAGTGTAGAGTGTGGAGTGTAAAGTGTGGAGTGTCGAGTGTAGAGTGTGGAGTGTAAAGTGTAAAGTGTAAAGTGGGGAGTGCGTTGTGTAGAGTGAGGAGTGTAAGGTGCGGAGCGTAAAGTGTAGCGTGGGGAGTGTGGAGTGTAAAGTGGGGAGTGGCGTGTGTAGAGTGAGCAGTGTGAGGTGCGGAGCGTAAAGTGTAGAGTGTGGAGTGTAAAGTGTAAAGTGTGGAGTGTGGAGTGTGGAGTCTAAAGCGTGGAGTGTAAAGCGTAAAGTGTGGAGCGCGCCTGCCACGAAAACTGCATCTCATCTTCTGCGCCTGCCACGCAAAACGACTTTCGACACGTTATCAAACAGGTATGTCAAAAAGCGCCACGCCTGCCACACAAAACGACATAACAACCTGCTTTGACACGTTCGAAAAGGAAAGGTTTTGCAGCTTCCCTCATAGACACGGCGAGGACGAGACACGTGGGAGCATCAAAACGAGCATTTCGTGGGAGGCTTCCTCCAATTTTCACACTTTGTAGCTTCAAAATCGATATTTTCCTACGAGTTTTCTTATGAACCTCTAAATTTGCTACCCCAAAATCGATGTTTCGTGCGAGGCTTCCGTCAATTTTCATCACATCTCACAAAACGCCACGCCTGCCACGCAATTCGCTTGTCGCCATTTGACGCAGCCCTGACAATAAGATTCGCAAAAAACACGCAACACGACGTCTAAAGTCTAAAGTGCTGCGCCTGCCACGCAAAATGACGACGGGCACTGCAACTCATCTTGCGAAAACGTCGCAAAAGTATTGCGCCTGCCACACGAAACGAAGCAACGCGACGCTTGAAACCTCCAAAAATGACCCCTTTTGCAGAACTTACCATAGGCACGGCCATACGGCCCTCAAGCGGACGGTTGCGGACGGTTGGGGACGGTTGCGAACGGTTGCGAACGGTTGTGAACGTAAACGCAACGTCGAGCGAACACAAACGGGAACCCTTGCTACGCATTCGGGAACAAAGCGTACTAATTCGTTCCTCGCTGTTTCGAATTGTGTTTTCGTTTTCATGTTCCAGGCCTCCGGGAATGGATTGTCCTCTAGAGAGGGCTTCTTTTTCTCCTCAGCACTCAAAGAACTCATACAAAAAAGAAAGACGCTGCCGACGCTTCCCAACACACTGTGAATGCCGACCCAGAAAGACCATGGACCTCCAACTGCCATGGGAACGGAGTCCTTGACCTTCCCTTCACGTTCATCTTTTGCAGCCCTTTCTCGTCTCTCCAAATCCTGGTCAAAATTCGACAAGGTGCAGTCCAGCGCTCCAAAAACGAACCAAAACGAAACAAGACTGAACAAAACCATCTAAAACCATCTAAAACCATCTAAAAACCATCTAAAACAATCAAAATGGATCGAAATGGGGCTAGCTAAATGGCTTTGCCAAATGGCTTTGCCTAGCTTTGCTCTGGTTGTTTTTTGCTCTGATCCCATGCCTCCGTCATGTCCGCTCGGGATGCGCGCTCCTCGAGCAGGCCCTGTCCAGCCTGGATAAAGACAAAAAACGGCTCTCCGGGGCGCTGGGGGCTTAAATTAACTTGTTTTTAAGTTTTTAGTTTTCGCAAGTTATCTTAAAAGTTTGTTCCAAGCATGTGTTTTTCTGTTCAACAGAACAACAAACAAACATGTAAAAAACATGTAAAAAACGTTTTGAAACCGTTGATTCTTTGGATCGAACTCTCACCATCTCCCATCTTTTATTGTGGGCTCTGAACCTTTGCCAACTCAACTTCGTACTCTTCGTTTGTACTTGATTTATCCTGGGATTTTGCAACCTCACTTGGACTCTGGCAAGCCCGAAGTACTGCAATCTGAAACAGAAATGGTCCTTACTGGTACCGCAAAAAAAATAACTGAATAGCTGAATGAGGGTTCTGTATCGTGGACCCCGGTTCTGACAGTCACCTAAGTAGAGGCTTGGATGGGCTATCCCGGCCACAGCCACAGCATGCCACGCCCCATCCTGTCTGAACTTCATCTTCTTGAAGGTGGCAGCATCGCGGTTGTTGATCTGAGGCACTTACAGTTCCACATCAAAACTCATCTCGCTGGTAGCAAAGCAGAATGCGCGCAACAGACTCACAACAGAATGCCACGTGAAGAACGCCTTTGTTGTGTGGGCAACCAGCATGTTCCCTCCTCAGGGTCAAAGAGGTTTGAGAGAATGGATCTGGTCCCAAACACCAAGGTACTGCTTTTCTGCGATGTTGAGCTAACTGCACTACATATCATTACAATTCACTACATATCTAAACATATTTGAACATATCTATAGAACATATCTAAACCTTTGTGATTGGTTTATGATCATGCAAATGACCCTGTTTTGGCACAACTTGCAGCTCTTCGATCCAAAGCTACCTGGGTTGCTGTTGCTTGCGATGGCCGCATTCCTGAGTCACATCTTCAAAGGGTCCAGTCTATGAGACTCATTGAGTCATCGAGAGAAAACATGTCTCGACGTTTGGGCAGAATCTTTCTGAGGTACAACTTGCCTGAGGCTCTCTCTGTGCGCCAATTCTAGGTATCCGCACCATGTCGGTCTGTGCGCTGTCGTCATGGCTAAGTATCCGTAGGGCCTGTTTTGGCCACTTCAAGAGATTTGGAGCCAGGGCCCCAGAAGGCCCAGAAGGCCCTCTATAGGCACTGGTGCAAAACAAGAGCAGGCTCTGCAGCTTGAGCAGTTATGGAAGGCAATCCACTGAACTCCTGTTCAAACACAGTCAAACAAACACCATACTTGTTCAACGGTTTTCAAGACAGAAAGCTAAGAGCTCATACGAAGCCGAAAACCTTCAACAATCTGAAATATCGCATGCTTGCAGATGATTGTCTGCTGTGGAAGTGTGGAAGCCAAAGTTTCTGATACCTGTATCAGCAGTTGTGTGATTTGAAATTAGACTGACAAATGCTTTTTGCGTTTCGGAATTTCGGAACCTGATATAGCCTGGTATTCAGGCCAGGTATTCTTTGCTTGTGGAATGTTTCCACAAGAGGTCCACAGGTTCTGACTCAGCCAAGCCCGAATAGTTCTTTTTCAAGGAATAAATAAGACTTGCTAGGAGTTAAAAGAGGCCATACAGAGATTCCACAAATGGGCCAGAAAGAGATTTGAAACAGATTTGAAACGGCTATTTCTTTTCACAGGCTGTCCATGCTTAATTTGTTTGTTTTTGTGAACTAGAAACAGACACGAACTGACCGAACTGCACTAGGTACAAAGACGCGAGCAAGGCAAAGCTTCAATGTCCAAAGGATTCATAGGAAGGATACATGACCACATGGCGAACTAGAAATGTTGCACTGTGCAGCGGTTCCAACCAAAATCAAATGTATGGCAAAACATGACAAACCTGAGAAGGGGGGAACGAAAGCCAGCATCCCATCTACCCCTATTTTCCACCATACTTTTCACCCAGAGACTCTTCAATACATTTCACCCATATACTTTTCACCCAGAGATTTTTCACCCAGAAACTCTTCTTGCACAGACTTTTCACCCATATACTTTTCACAAAGAGACTCTTCACCCAATTTTTCTTGCACATACTTTTCACCAATATACTTTTCACCCAGAGATTCTTCACCCAGAAACTCTTCTTGCACAGACTTTTCACCCAGAGACTCTTCACCCAGAAACTCTTCTTGCACATACTTTTCACCCATATATACTTTTTACCCAGAGACTTCACCCAGAAACTCTTCTTGCACATACTTTTCAACCAGATACTTTTCACCCAGAGACTCTTCACCAGAAACTCTTCTTGCACATACATGTCACCCATATACTTTTCACCCAGAGATTCTTCACCCAGAAACTCTTCTTGCACAGACTTTTCACCGAGAGACTCTTCAACCAGAAACTCTTCGTGCACATACTTTTCACCCATATACTTTTTACCCATATACTTTTCACCCAGAGACTCTTCACCTAGAAACTCTTCTTGCACATACTTTTCACCCATATACTTTTCACCCAGAGACTCTTCTTGCACATACTTTTCACCCGTATACTTTTCACCCAGAGACTCTTCACCCAGAAACTCTTCTTGCACATACTTTTCACCAATATACTTTTCACCCAGAGACTCTTCACCTAGAAACTTTTCTTGCACATATTGTTCACCCATATACTTTCACCCAGAAACTCTTCTTGCACATACTTTTCACCCGTATACTTTTCACCCAGAGACTCTTCACCTAGAAACTCTTCTTGCACATACATTTCACCCATATACTTTTCACCCAGAGATTCTTCACCCAGAAACTCTTCTTGCACAGACTTTTCACCCAGAGACTCTTCACCCAGAAACTCTTCTTGCACATACTTTTCACCCATATACTTTTTACCCATATACTTTTCACCCAGAGACTCTTCACCTAGAAACTCTTCTTGCACATCTTTTCACCCATATACTTTTCACCCAGAGACTCTGCACCCAGAAACCCTCATACTTTTCACCCATATACTTTTCACCCAGAAACTTTTCACCCAGAAACTCTTCTTGCACACCAGTTCACCCATACACTTTTCACCCAGAGATTCTTCACCCAGAAACTCTCCTTGCACAGACTTTTCACCCAGAGACTCTTCTTGCACATACTTTTCGCCCATATACTTTTTACCCAGAACTCTTCACCCAGAAACTCTTCTTGCACATACTTTTCACCCATATACTTTTCACCCAGAGACTTTTCACCCAGAAACTCTTCTTGCACATACTTTTCACCCATATACTTTTCACCCAGAGACTCTTCACCCAGAAACTCTTCTTGCACATACTTTTCACCCATGTACTTTTAAACCAGAGACTCTTCACCCAGAAACTCTTCTTGCACATACTTTTCACCCATATACTTTTCACCCAGAGACTCTTCACCCAGAAACTCTTCTTGCACATACTTTTCACCAATATACTTTTCACCCAGAGACTCTTCACCTAGAAACTCTTCTTGCACATATTTTTCACCCATATACTTTCACCCAAAGACTCTTCTTGCACCTACTTTTCACCCATATACTTTTCACCCAGAGACTCTTCACCCAGAAACTCTTCTTGCACATACTTTTCACCAATATACTGTTCACATCTTTTCACCCAGAGACTCTTCACCCAGAAAACTCTTCTTGCACAGACTTTTCACCAAGAGACTCTTCACCCAGAAACTCTCCTGGCACAAACTTTTCACCCATATACTTTTCACCTAGAGACTCTTCACCCAGAAACTCTTCTTGCACATATAATGGTCCCACATCGGAGCCTCAATTTTACTTTTCACCCATATACTTTTTACCCATATACTTTTCACCCAGAGACTCTTCTTGCACATACTTTTCACCCATAAACTTTTCACCCAGAGACTCTTCACCCAGAAACTCTTCTTGCACATACTTTTCACCAATATACTTTTCACCCAGAGACTCTTCACCTAGAAACTTTTCTTGCACATATTTTTCACCCATATACTTTCACCCAGAAACTCTTCTTGCACATACTTTTCACCCATATACTTTTCACATCTTTTCACCCAGAGACTCTTCACCTAGAAACTCTTCTTGCACATACACTTATACTTTTCACCCAGAGATTCTTCACCCAGAAACTCTTCTTGCACATACTTTTCACCCAGAAACTCTTCTTGCACATACTTTTCACCCATATACTTTTTACCCAGAGAATACTTTTCACCCAGAGACTCTTCACCTAGAAACTCTTCTTGCACATACTTTTCACCCATATACTTTTCACCCAGAGACTCCGCACCCAGAAACCCTTCTTGCACATACTTTTCACCCATATACTTTTCACCCAGAGACTCTTCACCCAGAAACTCTTCTTGCACATCAGTTCGCCCATACACTTTTCACCCAGAGATTCTTCACCCAGAAACTCTCCTTGCACAAACTTTTCACCCAGAGACTCTTCTTGCACATACTTTTCGCCCATATACTTTTCACCCAGAGACTCTTCACCCAGAAACTCTTCTTGCACATACTTTTCACCCATATACTTTTCACCCAGAGACTCTTCACCCAGAGACTCTTCACCCAGAAACTCTTCTTGCACATACTTTTCACCCATATACTTTTCACCCAGAGACTCTTCACCCAGAAACTCTTATTGCACATACTTTTCACCCATACACTCTTCACCAAGAAACTCTTCTTGCACATACTTTTCACCCATATACTTTTCACCCAGAGACTCTTCTTGCACATACGTTTCACCCATATACTTTTCACCCAGAGACTCTTCACCCAGAAACTCTTCTTGCACATTCTTTTCACCAATATACTTTTCACCCAGAGACTCACCTAGAAACTGTTCTTGCACATATTTTTCACCCATATACTTTCACCCAGAGACTCTTCTTGCACCTACTTTTCACCCATATACTTTTCACCCAGAGACTCTTCACCCAGAAACTCTTCTTGCACATACTTTTCACCAATATACTTTTCACATCTTTTCACCCAGAGACTCTTCACCCAAAAACTCTTCTTGCACAGACTTTTCACCCAGAAACTCTTCTTGCACAAACTTTTTACCCATATACTTTGCACCTAGAGACTCTTCACCCAGAAACTCTTCTTGCACATATAATGGTCCCACATCGGAGCCTCAATTTTTCCATTGTGTTTCCATCCCATCAATTTCCGTCATTTTACTCTTATTTTACTTGGCATCATTTTGGTCCCACATCAGAGCCGCAATTTTTCCAATATGTTTTCCATTGTTTTTCTCCACTTCTTCATCATAGTCCCTCGATTTTTCCATTGCTTTTCCATCGCTAATGGTCTCACATCGAAGCCACATTTTTTTCATTTTTTTCCATTGCTTTTCCATAGTTTTACTCGACATCATTTTCCCCTCCATTCCAGTCTCCCCAGTGTTTTTTTCACAGTTTTTCCTCCAGTTTTACTCAATCGTCCCATATTTTATGCTATCAATTTATCCTTCCATTTCATGAATTTTTCCAGTGTTTTGCCATGGTGTTACTCGATTTCTCCATCATTACCCTTCTATTATCTCAGTGTCTCTAACGCTTACCCAAATGCACCTTCCACAATCCCTACAGTTGCACCGTATAAACGGTTTTGCTCGTTTCCTCCATGGTTTTTTTTCTGTGCTTCTACTCCATAGTGGTCACACATCGAAACTGCAATTTTTCCATTGCTTTTCCATTGTTTCACGCGGGCTTTACACGATAATGGTCCCACATCGGAGCCTCAATTTTACTTGGCATCATTTTACCCTCTCCCTATTCTTTCCACCGTTTCGCCTCGCGTTTTAATCAATTTTCCAAGCGTTCTACTCAAATTGTCCATTGCTTTCCCATTTTTTTTCCCATTGTTTTATGTCAAAGTCCTTCCTTTTTTCCATGGTTTTTCTCATCATTTTCCCCTCCTTTCCCATTTTTTTCCCATTGTTTTATGTCCTATTCCCTCATTTTTTCTATTATTTGTCTCATCATTTTCCCCTCCATTGCAATCTGCCCAGATGCACCTCGGAGGGCGGACCAGGGGGGAATCGATACCCCAACGTCACCCAATTGCCACCTGGTACATAACCCTAAAAAAGTTTAACTGCGTCCACCTTTTTTACCACCTATTTTCCTCATTTTTGTCCGATTTCGGACGCTCTGCCCCCAGACCCCCTTAACTCACTTTGTTCGCAAAAATAACTTCGCCTAGCCTAGCGGCTGGCTTTCGTGATCAAAACATACTTAGCCAAGAGGTAACTAATCCGTGGAGAGATGTGGAGAGTATGTATGTAATCTGTGCATCTTCCAGCGGATTTCATAAAGCACTTTCATCATCTTTCATCGAGAGGTTCCAGATGGTTCCAGTGGATGTCGTACTGAGTCATACTCTTCGTTCAGCCATTCATCACTTCATGAAGAAGCTGCGCCTGTCATGTGACACCACTTCTGTTTCGAAGATGGAAAGATGAAGGAACTGCAAAACAATGTTCAAGACAAGATGTAGCTCTGACGAATTGTGAGGACCTTTTACAAAAGAGTAGGCTGAGTAGACAAACTTTCAGGAGGCACATGCGTTTGCAAATTAAGCACCGGCATAAGAAGCATTGATTGGTGTCACATAGATAGAATTCATTAGACCTAATCAGAAAGGCATGGGACACAGTGAGACACAGTCAGACACAGAAAGAATCTCCTCGAAAATGGCTTCACGGTAGCCCAAACGAGGCACCTTATGGAGGACACGAGATGTGTTGAAACTGTTAAGATACTGTTGAAATACTGTTGAAGTGTTCGAAAGACAGAGCAAATATGGTCAAATCATGCAAAGATTGCAAATGCTTGTCATATATATATATATATGTTTGAATTCCAACCAGCACTTCTGAATGGTCTTGGCAATCAATCGAGACAAATTTAACTTGAATGTTGCGGTACAAGTCCTGACACATTCCAGACACACTTAAAGCCTTTGCTTGCTTGAATTGTTCGAGTTCCACACATCCGGAAGCGTAAATGACGCATTCCTTCAGTTCAGGAATTCAAACGGCGAAGCAAAGCAAAAAAATATCAAAAAATGAAAATGTGCAAAGCACATTACAACAGAAAGCAAGGCTGTAGCATGCTGAGGACCAAACGCAACAGTCTCATCGCGAAAGCAGTAGTCACCCGGTTCCCAACCCCAGACGTGCACCTCAGGCACTTTTGAGCACAATCTCGCTGAGCAGTATGCGGTACAATTCACCAGATCAATGCAGTGTACAATCTAAATACATCTGAATACAGTGTACAAATGTGTACAGTGCTGTACAAGACAACGGTGACAACGGTCACATGTCACCAAACTCTCGCCTGCTTCCCAGCCCTGTGAGCTCTTGCACAAAGGCCACCCAAAGGACGCACCTGGCAACTTTCAAATGGTTGCACCGACGGTCCAAACTTGGACCTTTGAAGAGAGCACGGCTGAGCACGGCCGAGAAATTCAAATTTTCCAAGGGAAACGGAAAGGGCAGAGTCGGTACCGTTTGGACAGAAGGTATCGTTTGCCAAATTGCGCGCAGCCGCAGTGATTTTCACAGCATTTGTCGGAAACTTGTTCTGTCCAGATGGTCCCAGCCTCGGGCGTTCCAAGCTTTGCTTTGCCCAGAGCGCCGAGGGTTTTTCCGTCCTTCTGTTCGTCGAGAATTACGTGGAGCTCCCTCAGACCAGGACAGGAGCAGTGACACAGCGATGACACTGAAAAGATCTGAAGAGCGTTTGTCAACGCTGAATCCAACAACGCCTATGGAAAATGCATTTGTCTGGCAACCCAATGGTAGTTAAAGCAAATCCTCCGAAAAAAGAATTGGCTGAACAAAAACAGCTGACAGCCTGCAGAACGGAAAGCTATCTGAAAGGATTGCATGCAACGACCAGTGAGAAAAAAAGTCGACACAGCTTGTTCGTTGACACTCTCCTCTTGGGCTGGAGCCGACCCAATCCTTTGGTCGGTTTCGCTGCTTTTGAGTTTGTCCTGACATACTCACTCACTTTTATTTGTGCTCCAGATATCTCCAAATCCTTCCAAGACATAAATGCAAATTCATATAAAAATTATAAAATCAATATAAATCAATTAAAATTGCAAAAATCGACTATAAAATTGTAAATAATTCATTTAAATGTCCAACTGGATGCTCTGCGCTTAGTGGCCAGGCCTTCGCATCTCACTCGAGGTGGACGGCATCGACGGCATGGAGTTTAGACTGCACGAGAAACCACCTCTCCGAAAAAGTTTCCAGGATTCAGACTGATTCAGACTGATTCAGACTGATTCAGATGTGGAAATTGTCGTAACATGTCGTAACATTGTGGAACAGAGCAGGTGCAGGGCATCGATCTATTCAGATCTATTCAGTACCGATGTTCAGTGGTTCGAATCGCTGAGGGAAGAGGGAAAGGACTGAAAATGAGTCAAGAATACAAGTTGAATGTGACGCACAAAATACTCTCCATGAACTCACTAAACACGCAAAACAGAGTAGAAGAACTCTTCAAGCCACCCATCTCTGTGCAATTGTCTCAACAGACTCTTGGTAGCAAATACCTGTCTGTCTGTACAAGCCTTGCATCTGCAAATACACTCACGTCATACGCGTCATACACATCCTTCAGGAGTTCTTCATCCTTCTACACTCTGAGAACCAGACTATGCAAAGTGCTGCGGCTGCACCAGGAGCCCTGTGCCTTGAACACAGACAGAAAGAATTAAAGCAGCCAGGAATGCAGCTGAGCGAGAAATCAAAGGAGAAATCAAAGCTGATAGATTCTCTGATGCTCGGAGTTTTATATATATATATTTATTTAGAGTTATATATATATATATAGTTATCTATAGTTATTTATATATATATATATATAGTTATATTATATATATATATATATTATATATGTCTATAGAGCTTTGTTGCAGGCTGTTTTCGGACAGCAGTTTCCAGAGTGCAAAGTGCAAAAATTTGACATCGCAAGGCTCAGAATTGAGGTCGGAACATTAGTGCTCCTAGACGTGATAGCAATAGCAAGTGACAAGACTAGTGGAACATGACGAAGATGTTTAGCAAACCACTGAAGAATCCGAGAACCGAAAGTTTACAGCTGACACAAAGTCCCAGGATAATGCTATTCTTTTCACACTCCCTAGATGTTGTTGCGCAAAAAAAATATCTCTCTTAGAAACAGGATGATATTTTGCTCTTGCAAATGAAAGCATAGGCCATAGGCTTCTCGACTCTTCACAAGCATTCTAAATGGTGGGTATTATGATGATGCAGAAATGAAAGAAGCGTAACCTCAAGTGTCAGGCATTTCACCTCTTGAAGAGATTTGCAAACATGAAGGCAAAGTGAGGAGGTTCCTGGATTCTTTACCGTACTATAAATCAAATGCACTACTGGTGGCCCGGCATTGACAGAACTTTGCTTCGTTCAAACTCTCCACACTTGTCATGCCAGTATGAAACATACTCAAACTGCAATACAAGGAGACGCATTGAAAAGAAACGTTACGAATAGTTACGAACATAGAACTCGAAACACGAAATGGAATCTGAAGGAAACGGTCGGAAACGGTCGGAAACTGTGCCAGTCAGACCATGTCCTCTTCTGGCGGGCACGCAGGTGACAAACATCCCGCCGCCTTGCATCGTCTTGAGATCGCCCATGCAAAGTCATGGATCCATTCACATGTCACCCACAACCACAAACAAGACACACACACACACAAACACACATTTCATCATCATCATCATCATCATCATCATTCCACATCATCATTGCGCATCATCATTCCGCATCAGGTCTACGGTGCAGCTATATGCACTATAGCACGGCCTGAGGCTTTGGCTCAGCTCTTTGCCTCATCTCAAGCTGTTTGATTTCCTTTCGTAGACCTTCAACCTGCTATGCACAATGTCCACATTTGAAATGTTTTGGCTCAAGTCATGTACGCATTTGAGCTATCATCCAAGAGCCTGAAAGAGAATGCATCATACAGCCAGCTTAATTTGCTTCAACCAAATCCAGATGATTCAAGTGACTCTCGATGTTTGAAGTTAGATGCTTCACGAACTTGACAGCGTGGCGGCTTTTGGTCTGCCTCTCGAGTCCGCCATGTCAACGCGGATGTCGCAGATTCCTGAGTGTTTTAGCTCTCGGAGACCATGCAAATAGTTCATTTTCGTGGTAAGCACTAAACACATAAACACATGTAGACACATTTAGACACTATGACGTCACTATGACGTCACTATGACGTCACTATGACGTCACACACTTTATTTCAAGTTTCATCATGATGTTTATGTCTATTTATGTCATTTATAACACGTGTATACGCTGAGAACTCTCTGGGAACTCTCTGGTAACTCTTTTCGAGTCCAGTGGCGTGCCAGTGCCTTGGCTCTGGAGGTACTCGAAAACGCCGCATCGTCTTGACCTGCAGAAACCGTCGCGGGAAATGAACATATTGAACATGTATTTGATTTTTTTTTCGCATAACAACATGTTGGCTCCGCCGGGGGGGTTTGCCCGGCTTGGAACAAGGTCGACTGTGACTACATGTGATGAGTATCCGCAGCCGTTTGTTGTTCTTGTAGTCATGGTGTTGATTTTACTGTGTTTTTTCATATAAAATGTGGTTGTTCACAAGTAGACTTCATATCTTTTTTTTCAGATGCAATTGATCATTGAATGTTTTGACAATGTCCAAACTTGAGTTTTTTTCGCCAAATCTGGCGGAAAAATCAACAATCACCTGTAATTTACAGCGTTTCCATTTGACACGATTTGCATACATATATAGACAGACATGAAGTATACATACATATATATATATATCACATACACCAGAAGTAAACAGAAAGAGTCAGACAGAAAGGAGACACATGGCAAGAAGAAATACATTGAACCCAATCAAGATGAGGAAACGATGGACAATCAAACATGACACTGCGATTGCATGATACGTTTGCACATGACACACCAGCAGCGTACCATGTGCACACATGAACACACCAGCAGCGTACCATGTGTACACATGAACACACCAGCAGCGCACCATGTGTACACATGAACACACCAGCAGCGTACCATGTGTACACATCAACACACCAGCAGCGTACCATGTGTACACATCAACACACCAGCAGCGTACCATGTGTACACATGAACACCAACGTTGACACACCCCACCCCACCCCACGTACCATGTGTACACATCAACACACCAGCAGCGTACCATGTGTACACATGAACACCAACGTTGACACACCCCACCCCACCCCACGTACCATGTGTACACATCAACACACCAGCAGCGTACCATGTGTACACATGAACACCAACGTTGACACACCCCACCCCCCCCACACATGAACACCAACGTTGACACACCCCACCCCACCCCAGCCACCCCACCCCACATGTTAAAATTCCGGGCAAACCCCCCCGGTAGACCCAACATGTTGTAACAACTTATTACATGTTTCGTACATGTTTCGTCACGTCTTAGTCTTGTATCAATCGCCACAAGAAATATGTTTCCTATGTGCATTATGTCTATGTATATATTTTGTTTGCAAATATTCGCAATTTGTGGACACGTCGTATAATTTGACGAATTTAATTTGATGTGTAATTAATATTAATATTAATTAATTAATATATTTTTGATTTTGCCATTTCGACATTTCGACATTTCGACATTTCGACATTTCGACATCCTCACCTTCCGTTGCCACTCTGAACGTTCCAGTAAGGCTGTCCCCAAAACCTGGCAGTGCGCAGACCTGTGATTCCTGTTTCACAGACCTGTGATTGCCGTGATTTTTGCGTTTCTTTCAGTAATTTCCGTCGTTTCTCAGAAGTCTTGTTTCATGCACAAAAACCAGCAAAGCCGGCACCTGTTTCAGCTCACAAATGAGAGTCTCGCCTAAGATGTGCTCGGTTCGAACAGTTCGAACTATTTGGAATTGCAAGCGGGCACGCGTTTTTCCTGAGCCGCAAGGCCTCACGATTCACACATGAGTATTTCATGTATGCAAAGGTGAAAATGTTACTGCTATCATCTCGATTTGTGTGTGTCATCCTTGCACTGAGTCTGCATGAAAATCCTAGGCACTCCTCCTTTGTGGAGTGAGCCCCAAGATCGCTTCACAACTGGTTTGATTTTCCACTGACATTTTCACAGCGTAGTCTCAGCACTCATCGCTGATCCTTCACAGCTTTCCGGTGAAATTTTCAACCATCACCATATGCATTTGAAATTGCGGTGTAGTGGTCTGCATCGTTCCATCGTTGTTGATCCACTGCTCGATCTGCCAAATCTGAGAAAACTTCCACAATTCTCGCTCTGCAGCGTCCATACATGGAATGGATAGGGACTTGGTTCTGAACCCCTTCCAAAAGTTCCAAAATGAGATTCTGCAGGTTGTTTGCATCCCAGTATTCTTGGCGATCGATGCATCCTTGATGTTCTGCCTTGATGAAATTCAACATCTCTTCCAAAGATTGTCCTCGGTCACCCAACCTTGAAGTGGTTGTTGGCTCCACTTCCATTTCTGTTCCATCTTCTGTTGCTTCATCTGTTTGGTCTGCTGTTTCAGCTGGTACCATTCTTTGTCTGACCAGTCGCATGAACTCCACTGATCCCATTGTCCTCGAGCTTATCATGTTGGCACGCTCGAGGGTCGTCAGATGAATCCACTGATCGTGGCTTAACCCTAGCCCATTGCGTAGGAAGCCACCATGTTCCACCAGTGAATAGTGCAGGCCCGTCATGTAATCATGTGTCAATTGAAAGCTCGTTTGAAGTCTCTGTAATTTGATCAGTCAGGATGGCTGTCTGTTGACCAAATTGGTTTTCCAAAGTTTCGCAACGCTTCTCCAGTTTGTCAATGCGTTCTGCTTGTTGGGCTATGTAGTGATCTTGATCTGCCACTTGCGCCCAAGCATGCTGCAAATCATTGGAGACCTTCTTCAGCATGTAGTAACCCTTGAATGTCACCACTGCAAACGTTGCAAGCATTAGTCCAAATGCCAGCCAAATCCAAAAACTGTTGTAAGAAACTTCCGGGCTCCTGCAAACTTGATCATCTGGGATCATTGCACCTTCGGCCACCATTGACTCAAGGCCCTGCAATCCCATCACCAAAGCAAGCCTTTTGATGAACTTTCCCATCTTTGACATGGCTTCTCGGTGATGCATCTGTTCAACCATAGTTGCATGCTCCTCCTGGCCGACTTGTTCCAGCGTTTCAGGGTCCAAAGCACCCACCTCAAACATCAGCGCATAGAGTCTGCTCTTGGTGAGCACTTTTGTTCCCACATCACTCAGATTCAAGATCGTAGGAACCTGACCCACAATCACATTTCCAGCAAGGACCTCCTGTTGGATCCATAGGATCTTCGACGACAAGTGGCGTATGCGTCCAACGCCTTGCCTGGCTGCTAGTTGTCTCGCAGCACTATTGTCCGTCCATTGGAAATGTTGCACCTGAGCTGAGAAGACAAACTCTGCACACCTTTTGATGAAAAGGCCATCACAGCATCCACTGACCATTGCATGAAGTTCACTTTCTGCTGAGGACAGGCTGATGACTTTCTGAGTCCTCGAAGAGCCATGGACGTAGCATCCGTTGAGGAAATGCAAAGCGCAGCTGGTAGACTTCCTGTGGGATTTGTTGGAACTCCAATCTGCGTCTGTATACGTTTCCAAGAGCCACTCCATTTCACAGCCCTCCTTTCTTTTGCCTTTCCCTGGTTCTGGAAAACTCAGCTTAAGGCCAATGTTGCCGCTGAACTTCAAATACCCCATCAAACGTTTCAACCGTTGCAGCGCACAAAGTGTTGGTTTTGACATTGCTGCTGACAATTCCTTCACTGTGAACATGATGTCCAGTCGATCTCTGGAGAGGTAAAGAAGTAGGCCTATGATGCTCTGTATGAGCTGCTGTCCTGTGGTTCAAGTTGTTGAGATTGGTCCTCCTGTTGAATGCCAGCTTCACAAGGTGTTTTCTGGACACGCACTGTTCCAAACAAACCTTCAAGGCATTTCAGCACCTTTTCCACTGTCGTGCCTGGAACGACCATGATGCCATCGCTCAGCCTCACCAGTCGCCTCTTGAGAAAGGCAATTTCGGAGCCTTCACATCCAAGCACATTGAAACTGATGCTAAACTTCTGTTGCATTGTTGGTAAGAAAACATCACGCCAAAACACCAAGCTTCCAGTGAACAGAAGATCATCCACATGCAGCATAAAGGCATTCATACCCTTCCTCGCAAGGCATGGCTGAATGAGACACCACTCGAACTGCATTGTTTCTGTTGCATACTGTCGGAAATACCAGTACCAAGCTTTTGCTCCAAGGCGCTGGCCTGGCAAGTTTTTCAAAACCACATATTTCACATCATGCAACATGACTTCGACTACATTCTCCTGAGGCACCTGAAGAAACGCATCTTTGATGTCCAGGGAGCACAAAACTACCTGATACTTCTCATCGCTGGAGCCACTGTTTTCCACCTTCCCAAGCATGCTCAAATAGGCCAAAGGTATCAGATGGTTGGTATGGCTTCCAGTAGCAGGGCTGTAAGTGTCGTCCCTGCGTGTGTTGGCAAATTCTCTTGCCACAAATCTGCTGCGTCTCATCCATCTCATCACTGTTGTGTCGTCAGAGGTGCCATCAGCCTTGTAAGCTTTCAGTCTCCAGTCATACACAAACCGTGTTGTAAGATTTCCAGTTGTTTCACCTGAGAAATCATCGCGCTTCATCAGAACACCCATTGAAAGTAACCTGTCAATTTCCACTTGGTCTGCCAGTCTATCCACCCAAGCTTCTGGATTGCCTGGCTGCTTGTTGGTGGGCTCGTCAGACCAAAGAGCTTCTGGCACTCCACTGAACTGCAAAGAGTCCTCATCTTTCCACATCTCTTCATCCTCCACAACTTGTTGGTTCCAGTCGAAGTCTGTGTCATAGTCATCCAAGGTGTGGTAGACATCTTCTCCCACCTTCACCGTACGTGCCATCTTCTCATGTTCTTCCTTGACACGCTCGATTCTTTGTTTCTTGGAGACTTCAACTCTGGCCTTCTTTGATTCATGTTCATCTGGAGCTTCATCATGAGCTCTGCTGGATGGAGATGCCCTCGGACTCGGTGGAACAAGCGCTGATGTGACTGGAGGTGTCACTGGTGCCTGTTGGCCATCACCCATGTCTTCCTGGGGAACCATATCCTCAAGGAAACTCATATCAAGTTCTTCATCTTGTACTTCAACTTGAACATGCTGAGGTGCTTGCACAGTGTTTGAAGTAGCGGTGGTTGCAACTTCTGGCATTGCTGTTGATCCTGCATTCCTTGAACGTTCATCTTCAACTCCCATCAAGTGTTGTTCACCTTCTTCCCTCTTCTCCTCCTGAGCTTGGGCTCGTACTGCTTCACCATCTGCGTCATGGAGAGGGGAAGGCATCACTGGGCCAATTGGGGCCGCATTGGAAGCTGGTAAGGGCTCCACTGTTCGACGTGTTGGGATGATTCTGCTTCCAAACCCTGTCTTGAAACACCACGTTGGCGCATTGAAGTGTACATAGTAACCCAGGTGTGCTTTCCAGTCTGTTGCAATCCTTCTGATGGACCTGGATAGCATCACATTCTTTCCAGTGAAAACCACATAGGTGTCCTGGCCTTCTGTCTTGCCAAGGACCAGTACCCTCTGCCATCGTGGGTTCCCTTTGTGCGTCGTGTGCACATAGGAGAAAGCAGGCTCTCCAAACTCTGCCAAGCGCCCTTTGTAAACCTTTCCATAAACCACTTCAAAAGGAGTTGCACCATGAACCACACTGAAACGATTCAACAACCATGCTGCGTGTCGAAAAGCCCATGACCAAAGCCCATTGTTTGTATCCAGTTCCACTGACAGTTTTTGTTGTACCCTGTGCATGAGACTTCCAGCTAGGTTCCTGACTCTTGCAATGCTGTTCTCACACAACGCATTGCCATGAGAGTATGCAGCTGGGCTTTTGTCCTTGGTTGGTAAGCCCATGGCCTTTCTGGCACGCACCACAAGCTTTTGTATCTGAAGTGCGGCAGGCTCATTGTCGCATAGGTATGTGCACTCCACATGACCAAGGATCTGGGTAAACTGAAGCAGTTCTCTAACCATCAGATCTGTCTGGGCTTTTGATTTCACAGGCACGCATCCAACAAAGTTTGTAACTGAGTCAACCATCACCAAAGCAATGACCGTTTCTGTGTCACGTGCAACACCATCCTGCCCAACACTCTTGGTATATGCAAAGTCGAAACTGACTGTTGGTGAGGATTCTTTGACAGCACCTGTGCTTTCCTGCCTGTCTGGTCGAGCACGGTGAGCAACACAGGAAGGACACCAATCAGCGTAAGGCAAGTGGCACAAATTGTGCCTCATTTGGGTCTCTTCGTCAGGGGCCTCTGCAAGGTGTTGTGGCCTTGGTTGACGCTCTTCAGCTGCCTGGGCCTCTCGTGCAGCACCAAGAATCAGCTGCAACTCCAGTTTCTTTTGATGCTCAAGAAGCCTTTTGAAACATCTGTCTTTGGATCCTGATGTAGACAAATTGTAAAATGAGCACGCTTCACGCATTGTTGCAAGTGCAGTATTGCTGAAAATCTCAACTCCATTCACCAGCAAATGGTCGCCACGTTCTGGCGCAATGACCACCTGGCCCTGTGGGATCTCTGCACCCTGCTCATCCAGTTGTACATCGTCCACATCAATTCCAACAATGTTTTCATCATCTTCTGGTGCAATTGGAATTTGTGCAGCTTCTGCATTGTCACGTCCTGCAACTGGGGCCATGGCAAGAGGTTCTTCTCCATCAGCCAACATTGTAAAACCCATAGCCTGTGGAGGCCTCTCAGAAGCAGTGATGATCGTGATAATGAACCTGTCACCAACATATCCAAAGAACTCTGCTGAATAGTCAATGAGCGTTGACATCGGCTCACACAGCTCAAGCACAAACCAACTGTCACCATCTTGAATCAATGTTGTACGAAACTTGTCACCTGCCATTGTCGGGCAAAACAAAGTTGGATCCTGAAAACAGTTGCCATAGTGTTTTCCTTTGCCAATACCTTCAGCATTGAGGTCCCAGCCAATCCTCATCTCAGTCAAATCGGGCCACACATCTGCCCTAACTGCACGTATGACCATAGGTCCCAATGCTTGAGGTTCTTCACGCAAAACCCTGATCCAACCACGCACTGCCATTGATTTGTTTTGCATTTCTATTGGAACACTGATGCCTGAGCCATGGACCAACGTTTGTTCTCTGCCGTTCACACCCCAACCATTCTCCAGTAGATGCCCAAAGCAAAGGATAGGTTGAGTGATTTGGCTGCTGACTGCAACTGTCTCTTTCAACACCACAGCTCTACCATACTGATCCATGAGGTGAATCTCTATGTCCTTCATGCCATCAACTGGAATGGAATTTCCCTGTGCGTCTTGCAGTTTGTTTGCAGGCGTTTCTGAATCCAAACCAAAACCTGACATGCTTGCAGGAAATATCGACGCATCTGCTCCACTGTCTAACAAGATGTTGCACATGCTGCTTCCATCTGGCATGGGTTCAGCAACTGCACGCACTGAACCACAACTGACATCACTAGGCTCATCACCTATGTAGAACCTTGCAACACGCACTGCTCCTCCCTGTCAACTGCTATTGCTGACAGGGCTGCGCAAGTCAAACACAACTTCATCATGTTGTTGAACATCTGAAGTGATCTGACATGGTGAAAACTCATGAATTCTGGCTACACGATACTGAGTAGCTTGCTGTCCTTGTTGTTGACCTCCATGCACCTGTGAGTTGCCACTTGCTGGAGAAGCACCGGCAGCTGAACTTGGAGAAGACTGCACGGTCTGTTGTTGTGGCTGTTGTTGAAACTCACCTTGGACATTCCTCACAGATGGAGACCAACAATCACGGGCAAAATGCCCTGGCTTTCCACATCGATGGCAAACTTGATCTGATCTCATGCCACCTTTGCCTTTGTAGCTCGAATTGTCGTTCTGTTTCCCACCTGCTTTGCCTTTACCATCGCCCTTCTGTTTCCCTTTGTAACTTGATTTTCCATCTTGCTTGGACTTTGTCTTTCCTTTTGATTTTCCCTTTGATGGGCCTTTCTGCGTAAAGCCCTTGCCTTTGTCTTTTCCACCCTTCTTCCCAGCATAGACACGGTCCACTTCCATTGGCGTCGAAGTGGTGTCATCTGCAAAGATCAGTCCACTCCATTTCTGCTGGCTCCTGTCCCAACGTAGGACGTGTTCACGTAGATCCTTGAAGGATGTTGATTCCTGAATTGCAAGGTTCAGGTGTGTCCTCAATTGTCCTCCGACACATTTGAGAAGGATCGCTTGTTGAAGTTGATCTGGTATGGATGTCCCTGCACGCCTTGCTTCCTCCAGTGCATCTTCAAGTTTCAGAAGCTGAGGCTGCAACGGTTGGGACATCACAAATGCTGGCCAACTTGTCAATGCAGCCATCAAAGCAAGACCACGATTGTTGCTTGCCGGCCTAAGCGCCAATGTCAACTGCCTCAACGCCTCATAGCCGTCAGCTTGTTTGACGCTTCTGATCACATTCAATGACCTGTTTCTGCAAAGACTGGCCAATAGTCCATACAACTTGGCGCTACGCTGATGCGTCTCCATGGATGCCGTTGTAAGATCCAGAGCATTGGTAGGGTCATTCATCAGCGCCTCTAGTTCCTTCTCATATCCAGGATCTATAGCGTTCAAAAACTGAATCAGTTGCCAGCTCCAATCACGAAAGGCTCTTATTTCATCCTCTGTTGTCTTGTACTCAAACAGTGGGGGCTTGTTCAGAAGCTTCGACCAATCGATATTTGGAGAGGATGAACTGCTGGGGCTACTGGACGGTGAAGTTGTCACAGTAGGCTGCTGTTGTTGCTGCACCTGCTGTGCCAACTGAACTGCTGCCTTGGTGGCCTCTGCCACTTCCAAGATCGCGGCTTGGAAAATTTGGGGATTAAACTCTGTTGCCATTGTGATCCACCTGAAATTGAGCTATCCAACTTTTCTCACAAGCCAGAAAATTAATCACGTAGGTCCCTGTATACCTTGTTACGATCAACTGCAAAGTGCACCACCAACGTCACTGAAGCCAAGGTTGCAAAGTTGCACACGAGCCACCTTCCAGGAAATTGTACAACGCCAAAATTCCAGTGTATGACAGCCCTCAACCAATGCACCTGTACCAAACCAGTGACCACACGATTTGAATGCGCGATTCACGTAGTGAAATCTAATGCAGATTGTTCCAAACCAGGCTCAACCCAAAATTTTCCGTGGGTCCCCAAATTGCAGCTATGACAAAACCTGTCCAAGCAATATTTCACTGAAAATTCCCAAGCCAATGCCAATCCAGAATAGGTTGTCCAACTCAGCTCCAGAATGCAATGGCAGCACGGGAAAAGAAGGGACGCAAGGCCTGCAGGTAGGAAGCCACTGTGGGCTCCGCTACCATGCAAGCGGGCACGCGTTTTTCCTGAGCCGCAAGGCCTCACGATTCACACATGAGTATTTCATGTATGCAAAGGTGAAAATGTTACTGCTATCATCTCGATTTGTGTGTGTCATCCTTGCACTGAGTCTGCATGAAAATCCTAGGCAGGAATTCATAAGCAGCTTAAAAGCAGCCTATAAGCAGCATATGTGCCATTGGAGAACGAACTAGACCAATTGTCAGTCTCCAACGTTCTTCTATGCTCGAGGTGATGCTTTGTTCGACCAAGGATATCCAAGAACTTTCCTGCAAAATAAGGGCAAAGGCTCCATTCGAACCTATGGACAAATTCAAACAGAAATTTCAATTCAGGGTTGTGATAAAGTTCCATGTTTCCCCGATGGAAACAAAATCACAAATTTGCAGAACAAATCAATGAAAATGATCATCGTGCATCTGGACCCAATCTGATCTATTTTGTTGACTGCACATGTGCGAGCTGTTCTCATCCGGATGCAATTCCCTGCCTCCCATGAAAATGATTCTGGTTCAGTGATAAAAGCCCCCTGCCCACGCGATTTGGGACAAACCTAAACAATTGAACCTCCATCAATGTTTTTCTCAAAAACAATGTGTGGCAGAGTTTCGACCGTGTTTGAATAATGAAAGCTGTGAAATCCAACCAAAAAAATGCCATTGACAGCCTGGAGGTCAATTCGCTGTTCTCCTTCACAAACATGGCGGAAAGCTGATGTGTAAAAACTGCCCTTACATGCTATTTTTTCTGTTCAGATCTCGAAAAGCAAAAAATTGTTCAACCAAACACACGACACCAATTGTGTGATTGTTCCCATCAAGTTGCTCTCCTGAATGATTTTTTTCTGGAGAAGATGCACATGACGAAAAAGGAAACGCCTGCCACTTGCACGAATAAATGCGTCTATTTTCATGGTTCGGTCATTTTTTGGACGGGCAACACAACAAGTTCCGAACCCACCTGCCCACTCTCATTATCCCTGCGCTGTGAATAAATGTCTGGCCGCCTGCAACAGCAAGGATTGAAAATCCAACATTTCAAAATTGTTAAAACTGAGTGATCACAGATTAAGGCCAAGACGCGCCACGATTCTGACCTAGCAAGTATTCACGGCTCACAGCACGGGCAAAAACATGGATTTTGCCACACATTTGTTCGAATGATTGAAATTTGAAATGCATTCAGACTGCATTCAGTGAATTCAGTGATACATGTGGGTCACCTTCCAAGGATTCCTCGTGCCGCCGGTGTCGCATGCCCTCCATGCCCTCCATGCCCTCCATGCCTGCGACACAATTCCATTTTTGTTTTTTTTTTCCAAATGCCAGACAACAAGTTGCACCTCACAGACAGGCAGTCATTGGGCAACCATGGTCATCCGGGTAAAGGTTGCCATCGCATGATTTAATCAAATGCACCAAACATCATGCATGCGTTTGTGTCTGTTTGTCTGCGTGAGCCCGTGCGAAATTTTCAACGGCCTCTGTGTTTTCGAATCAATTTGGAACATATGGTTTCAGGCACTTCTTTGCTGACCCACAATTGGCAAACCGACGCTAGCACCTGCACCACAGCAATCACACTGCACAGTTTGCCTTGCTAAACCAAAAACAGAAATGGTACAACACTAAATTTCATGTATTTTAGTTGTTTGATTTGATTTTTTCATTCGTTATTGTTTACTGCCGGCTTAAAATTTAAGCAAGGCTGCCTCAACAGAGCTAATTCATAATCCATAAGCACGCTCGAATAAAACGCCCAAATACGCCCAAAGAAAACAAGCCCACAACTGCATGTTCAAAACTGGACTGGGATTGACCCCAAAACACTGTTCATTAATTTTTCAGTGAGCACAGTTTTCAAACAGTTCCCCAAGGTTCCTGCGAAGGGTTCCTTCCAAAAAGCGGGCGCCTATATACTGTTTCAACATCACTTTCACCATCCTCATCATCATCATCATCACCACCAGCACGACCACCATCACCATCACCATCATCATCATCATCAGCAGCATCATCATCATCATCATCATCAATCATCAATCATCATCATTTTCATCATTTCCATCATCACCACCGTCGGCATTTTGTTCATCATCATTTTCATCATCATCAGCAACATCAACACCTACACATGTATAATATCAGTCATGCGGATGCAAAGATACAAGTGGAAACCGTGGGCGGAAACAACTTCAAATTTGCAAATGTGTAGATACAGGAATATAGATGCAGGCAAACATCTACACATTTATTTATTAATCCAGTTTTGCAACCCAACAGCCGTGCGACATCCAAGAAGATTTGCGAGTAGCGTCGTCGATGGTTGGGCCGCATTTGACCTCTCAGCGAGAAACAAGACAAATTAAGGAACCGGAAAACCCCACATGTCAACTTCTTCCAATACATCGCAGAAGAGTTGTGAAGACGGGAGGGGAAAGGCAGGAAATAAACAGGAGATGGGGGAAAGCAGGTTCTGTGAAACAGGTGCATATGAGAGAGTTGCGTGTGAGAGACTTGCTTGTGAGAAGGTTGTGTGTGAGCAAGTTGTGTAAGAGAAAGTGCCTATTTTCCTTGAATGCAACACGCCTCGGACATCCATAGATTGCTCACTTGATCATAGCCATTTGGCCACTGAAGTGACATGAGTGAAAAAGCATCTACCAAGCTGAAAGAAGTGTTGCACCTATGCGTTCATCTCGATATGAACAGATACTACACTGAATCCACATGATTGCACTGTGCGCAAATATTTCCTGCCCCGCCTTTGCCGGGCACTTTGTGTCATTGCAACTTGAAACTGGCAAAACTGGATCATTTAATTAGCGTCTAGTCACTAGTCATCATATAAACTTGGAAAATCGGACAAACTGTGCATCATTGCCCAGACTTCTCCACGCTGCTCAATGCGTTCAACGCAAACACGGCGGAGTCTCACAATCACTTCACGTTGGGCAACATAGTTTTGGACTTTTGAACTCAAGCCTCGACGCAAAGCACGACCCATGTGCTCAGGACTTCTCAGTTGAAAAGGATCTGCCATGTCCTCGACTGCAAGGTATCCAGGTGGATCTGGGACAATGAAGCTCTCTACTTCGGGTTCATCTCCAAACTTGGTGAATCCACCTTCAGGTGCAACTGAAAGAAAGTCAAAACCATTGAAGTTGGTGTCAATCTCAGGCAAACTGTCATGAGCGTGCATCATGATCTGCAGATTGTCTGAAGAAATTCCACCTCTCTCAAACACAAAACATCACAAAACGGTCTTGCAGAGAATCATAAATTCCATTCAACGTTTCTGCTTTGCCCTGGTCACCATCATATTCGTCATCCAAAAGTCGCAGAGTGTGGCCAATGCAGGCACTCAAGAAGCAGTAAACGGCCTCTTTGTTGAACGTGCGCAAGGGCTCAACGGTTTGCTCAGCGGCCTCACTGTCGGCCCCAGGCTCTGGTTCAGCAAGATCTCTGGGAAGAAGTGGCATCATGAAAATGGCAGCAATAATGCAGAACATGGCAAACCAACATGAAAAACCATCAAGTCGTGGCAAAAAGGATTTTGGCATCAGCTCATCATGATGGGCAGGCTCAAGGCGCCTGCAGTGTTGACCATTGTCATCAAAAGGAGCATTTGCAGTGTTTTCTTGGCTGACACACTGGCTTTGCGGCCACGACCATTGTTACCTTTAGAGGTTTGGATCCTACTTACGTACGGACTGGAAAAACCCTAGAAACTCACAAAATGCGAGGCTGGACAAAGTGCAATGCTCGCGGACACTCTCATTTTATTTCCTTTCACATAAAAAAGGACCATCAAAGTTAAAAGCAACGCCATAAAAGGAAGTAAAGACGAGACAGCACAACTACCCATCGTAGGTAGTTCGCAAATAAACGTGCTTTGATGGTACGTATAAAAAGGGTTTTTGGGAGGGCGGGCAAATTTCAAACATGGCGTTGTAAAAAACGCGAAACCCACCCACCCACCTTGAACAAAATACTGTGGGAAAAAATAGACGTCATTCAACATGTAAACATGCAGAGGAATGCCGACAAACAAGTTTGTAAATAAAACAGATGTTCAGAAGGCGTTGCAAGACAAAAGTTGAACTGTTAAGTTCTTCAAGGACTTTCATTTGTTTGAGATAAGATCTAGAAACCGCAAACGAAACGCAAACAAACCAAAAACACAAAAACACAATTAAAGCTTCAATCCTCCCGCTTGACCATGTCTCGCTTCTGATCTCAGAAAGCACTCCCTTTTCATCTGCTGGATGGTTTGTCCCACTGTTGAATCAGGTTGGATTCGACCATACTTCAATCGAAACCATTTGACCAGATGGCATCAACAACCCATTCGGGTCAGATGACATCAACGACGCACCATTGTGCATTGTCGTAAATTCAGTGGAAATACTGAACGTGACATAAAAGTCACTTCACTATGCTTTGAAGTGCAACGCACTGCAAATAACCAGGAGCACAAAGGCTCCAAAGATGAAACATAATTCGGAGCACAAATAGGGGAAATAGGGTGAAACTTTGAGATCAACCTGTTGATACAACATTGGTAAAGAAATGAGAACAAGGTGAGGGAGGGAGGGAAACGAAAAATGTATACGCACAAATGAAAGTCCTTGAGCCAAAATGGAATAGAAACACAAAGAAGTTCCTTGCCAAACACAATGAACAAGTACATTAAACGTTCTTCAAGGACTTTCATTTGTTTGAGGTAAGATCTAGAAACCGCAAACCAAACGCAAACAAACCAAAAACACAAAAACACAATTAAAGCTTCAATCCTCCCGCTTGACCATGTCTCGCTTCTGATCTCAGAAAGCACTCCCTTTTCATCTGCTGGATGGTTTGTCCCACTGTTGAATCAGGTTGGATTCGACCATACTTCAATCGAAACCATTTGACCAGATGGCATCAACAACCCAAACTAAAACTATCTGGTATAATGGTTATCGCCTAAACACGCCCAAAAGAAGTGAGAACCATTCCAGCAGATTACATCGTGATGAGATGTGGGAGTTTCCATAGGAGTTTAGAATCAGGAGGATGCAACGTAGGGTGAGGTGAACAACGACACAGTTGATTTAGTGAAAGATGAATCCGTTCACTTGTTTGAAAACCATGTGGGACGGGAGTAGAAAAATCCCATCGGCTCAGATCATCCGCTATGATGTTGTCAGCGCCAGGAATATGGCTCACATCCAATTCAATACCCGTAGTCGAAGCCAGGCACGTGAGGATCTCAACAAAGAGACATAGAGGATGAGTCGTAGTAAATAATTTGTTGCTCACGCTCTCCGCTCCCGTGTTGTCGCTCAAAGACTTCAAACATATGGGAATGCGAAACCCAGGAAAAGACGTGGCCACTAACCACACCAAGGCAATTTGGGCTAGAGTTTCAAATGATGCAATGCTTCGTTGCATATTGGGGTCCAAGTGAATTGACAAAATGTCAAAATCAGCATGTGAAAATTTTTCAGAAAACCAAAATTGAACTCCTGAATGGTGGCGGATGAAACCTCCGATTTGACAATGAGAGCCAGCTGCACATGCATCTGCTGCCGCGATGCCGTTCCAATATGGCTTTGCTCGCATCGGTCGGGATGGAGATACACCCATCAGCCAATGGTCAAATAACTTCAAAATTCGAAGAGAATCAGGTCGAAGCTTGCGTTTGGAGGAATTTGGATTAATAATCCGTAGCCAAATTCTGTTCTCAGTTTTTATATGTAATGATGTAAGGTCTGCCAGAGAGGATACTGCTTGATGTCGAACTGAGATTAACTTACCTGATATCGGTATGGCGGAGCCCAATGGTGCTGTATGAAACGTCAAATTTGGTGTTAAATATTGATGAATGCGAGGCCATGTACCAGCATCAATACTGAAATGTGTCGCCGGGATGGTGTAGAGGTCGTGATACCAGTAGTGGATCCAGATCCGCATGAGCGGAAATAATTGAGTAATCCACATTGCGAGACCAATGAGCTTTTCCAAAGACTTACGTGTAGTTCGTGGCTGGGATATAAGGTGTTCGATGTATCCTCGGAGTTTGAGGATCTTTTCAATTGGGATTGTAACAATACCTGCATTGAAATTGAACTTCCAGCCATTGTCTTCCGTTGTGGGGACCCCAGAAGTCATCTACAGGGGGAGGGGTGAGCACCGAAGGTGGTAAGTGTGTGCATGTGTGTGCAAGGTGTGTGTGTGTGTAACTGCAATTGCCGAAGTTCCAAACCAAACGAACCCTGAAACGTAAACTCAAATGAATATCTCCAAACTCAAACGACATCAATGAAATGAAAGCTGCTGCAACTGAAAATGTGGACATCACTGAAATGGTCTCAGAAGGATCGCTCAGCGCATGTTCTTTTTGACCGGGGGTTGTGGACATCCTGCCGTATGAGTCTGTGCTGCTGCCAGCACTGCAAAGCTTCACCAAAGTCTCAAGCCAGTGTTTCTTGTAAACCAAATTGCATTTCAACCATTGCATATTCACCAGCTAAGAAGGTTCAACGCATCAAGCATCTGTCTGAGTCTGCCCCTCAATGGGAGACTGTTGTATTTCCAATCCAACCAAAGTCATGTCATCGATGACATCGTGAATTTCGACTGCGATGGCGAAGCAGCAAACGCGTAGGATGCAAACGTCACCAATGGTCAGAAAGGTCACAAAGCTAATGCTCTGTTGTACACCCAGACCGAAAATGGTATGGGTCAGTGGTAGATCGAAAAGCTGCTCATATCGATCCAGTTGTTCCGCAGTGTAAACTTCGATTCGGTTGTCACGTAAAGACTGCATTCCCCCCCAAGGTGAGGGAGGGTGGGTAGCAGAAAATTTGTTTGAGCCTGATCTCCCACAGCGAGACGATTCTCATTCCATGTTCCTTTCAAGTACGTGCATTTGAAAAGGAGTCAAACTGAAAACTGCAACCCAGGTAAGTTTCATCCAAGGTACGACATGTCTCATCTGAAATGAAATAAGACAGCACTTCAAAACGAGTTGATGAATCCTCAGAAGTTGTCTTCCAAATAAACAGTGCAAATAAGCCGAGGCCCGGTAAACGAAACTGCCGAAATAGAAACCTGTTTGTTTGTTCAAGGTTGTGCAAGTTGAAAGTGCAGGTTGTAGAGACATCCCAAACCAGAACCCTGCAAACACCCGGCACACACACACACACTAGCACAGCAAACCCCCACCCCTGCAGACAAACAACTGAGGCGAGCCCAAGTAGCTTGTCTTCCGTTGTGGGGACCCCAGAAGTCATCTACAGGGGGAGGGGTGAGCACCGAAGGTGGTAAGTGTGTGCATGTGTGTGCAAGGTGTGTGTGTGTGTGTGTGTAACTGCAATTGCCAAAGTTCCAAACCAAACGAACCCTGAAACGTAAACTCAAATGAATATCTCCAAACTCAAACGACATCAATGAAATGAAAGCTGCTGCAACTGAAAATGTGGACATCACTGAAATGGTCTCAGAAGGATCGCTCAGCGCATGTTCTTTTTGACCGGGGGTTGTGGACATCCTGCCGTATGAGTCTGTGCTGCTGCCAGCACTGCAAAGCTTCAAAGTCTCAAGCCAGTGTTTCTTGTAAACCAAATTGCATTTCAACCATTGCATATTCACCAGCTAAGAAGGTTCAACGCATCAAGCATCTGTCTGAGTCTGCCCCTCCTTTAGAGACAGGATGCCCGTTACCATACAGTTTTGTTTGCCATCTTTTGTCTTTTTGTCTGCCTGCCTTCAACCAGTCTCAAACCAACCTGGCCATCTCTCGCTTCAACAAACTCATCTCTCGCCGAACAAAGCTCCTTCAGCAGTTCCAGAGGAAGGTCTCCCAAGGTGATGGGAATACGGTTATCCGACTCAAATAAACTGAAGTCTTGATTGGTGAGGGAGTCGGCAGGAACATTCTGCTCCCTTGGTCTCCAGCGCAATTTCATCCTTGTTCCGCATGAAAGCAACTCCGCCGAAACTTGCATGTGAACCGCTAACAACGGCCATTTCGTTGACATGTTCTTGTTCTGCAAGGACTGATTAGACTTGTTGTCAGTCCCGCCAGTGATCGCCAGTTTCAGATTCTTCACCCGTTTCTCTCCCTTCAAATAGCCGAAAGCGCACGCAGCTGCGTACGATGCCATGAGTTCTGCCGCAGTAGAGCACCACTGCGACGAGCCATCTTCTTTGAAGAACATGGGAAGATCCGTAGGGTATACCTCCAAGCAAAACCATGATGATCTCTTCAAGTCTTCCACTCCAGCTTCCAGAGACCATCCAGCTAGGACAATCCGTCCGTCCTCGCACTTCGCATCCGTACGGAATGCCTCACTGGGAGACTGCCAAGGTGCCTGCACATTCACCCAGTGTCCATGGTGTTGTATCTGCTGCCGCAAAAATCTCAAAGAAATAAAGACCAAGGTGGGAACCCTTGTGACGGTTCCCCGTGCAAGCACCGATGTCCAAGCAAAGAGTGGAGCCAGAAATGGTTTGATCCAAGTGACCACCCTCGCAACAAATGACAACCTTCCAGTGAACTCTATAAATGATCTCCCTTGCACCATCCATCCGTTCCTTTCTGCATCATCGATCCACTTGATGACCCATTCTGCTCTCTTCTTTGAAATGCCTGCCACTTGTCGGTCATATTCCATCTGGTAACCAACGTACTCCACATTGAGGCCACCTCTGAATTTGTGGTACGCAAATGGTGTGCCCATGATCTCATATGCCAGTATGCTCAGCCAGAGTGCTACAAATTTCTGTGGGCCCAGGCAAAGCAAGTGCACGTCGTCGACGTATGCCAGCTGCATCGTCTGTCTCCTATCCAAAATCCTTAGGACCCATCGTCCCACGCAAGCAAATAATCTAGTCCACCAGTATGCTGCGCTTGAAACTCCAAAGGTGCCAACACAATTCAGCCACAATGTTCGTGAATCTGATTTTGAGCGACATGCTAACCGTGCCCAGTCAGCCTTACGTATGAGCACGCATCGATGCGCCTGGCTTATATCTGCTGAAAGACAGAAGGCAGCTTCACGGGACTCTGCTGCAAGGGCCACCAACTCTATGATCTCCTCTGGTCCTGGAACTTCCAGGCGGTCAAGTATTTTGATCTTGTTGTTGAGCCCAATGCCGTGTGTGCCATCATGCAAGGGGCGCACACTACCATCTGGTTTCTGTATTGCTCCCATTGCTGCAATGAGTACTGCTTCTTCACCGTACTCCATCTTGGCCTCCGCTAGAGTCGTGGGAAGCATCCTCCCCAGCAATTCGTCCTTTCTGAAGTGCGTCTCCAACTCTTCCGAAGAAAGCTCTGCCGTAGCATAGTTTTTCATGTCCGGTTGAAAGTCAGTGATGTCCAGCTGCCTAAACTTCTCTCTGCGCCTGAACACCTGGGGAGTTCTTGGAAGCTCGGTCTCCACACCAAGCGGCACTCCCTTTGCAAAACATTCTTCACCTTGGACCAGTATCTCCCAATCGGGATCATCCAGCTCCCTCAAAGATTCTGCAAGCAAATAAAGAAAGAAAGGTTGCCGCGGTGGCTGCACAAGTAAAGCATCTTCATCTCCCGGTCTGAGCAAGGTGGCTATCTTCTTTCTCAATGTCTGCAACTGTTCCGGACCAAAAGGGGATTGCTGCTTTGCCCAAGTGCCAAGCGAAATGCTTCCTTCCGCAAGTCCCCAATCTCCTTCACCAAAAAATCGTGAAGGATCTCTACAACTTGCTCAGCATGCTTTGTTGCTGAACCTTTAGCCAGATAATTGCGAGCCCCTGGCAACCACCTGCCCGGTGAGCACAATCCAAAGCCATCAGTGAACTCTTTCTTGCAACTTTCGTATCTGCAAATGATGGGCTGTCCAAAACAAGAAGAGGTTGTACTGTCAAACACCATATCCTCTTGCATCTGCCCACTTCCAGCTATCTGATCTTCACCTGATGATATCCAAATCTCTCCATGGGGCTTGTTGCCTTCGTTCTCAGTTTCCCCATTGGCTGGCTCACTGAATCCAGTCGGTCCAGACACAGGCCCCTTGCCCCTGTGGAGCGCAGTTGAAGAGGTCGTTGATGTGGTGTCCTGGATGACCGTTGAAGGGTTGGTGGAAGTGGTGGCAGGTGTCTTGGCTGTTGGAAGTGCAGTGGTTGTAGGTGTATCTGTAGTAGGCGCTGTTGCAGTGTCATGTACCCCCTGCGCAGCCATGCACTGTGGGAGCGCTGAGATTATGTCCAAAGCTATTGATTTGCACATTTCTTCAGGATATGCCGCTGAATCAGCTGTGTTCCACTTCTGCAATTCCACATTAAATCCCAGAAGTGGTGGGTGCGAGATGTGGGGACATTTCCCCAATGGTCCTGTGTAAAAGCCAGCTTCATCAAAAGTCGCCCAGTTCACACCATGTTGCAAACAATTTGGTAAATTTGAAATCAACCTGGTCGGTTTGGAGGTGGGAGCCCCAAAGATGCATTGATGTATGGCCCAGGAAGCGGCCTGTGTCGCCTGCACCAACTGTCGCAAAGCCTGCAACTGCCAGATTGACGCAGGGTAATCTCCTGCCCTTGTCTTTCCCAAATCCTCAGGGTGTTCCCACCAGTAAAACCGTCCTTGCGCATGCATTCGCTTTGCAGCTTCCAAACATTGAAAAATAAAGAAATTTGCAGTTTGCACCGTTTCTTGATCTGTCATGCGTAACCAAGGGAAGCCCAACGGCCAAGTAGCTGACCGTAGTGGTCTTGGACCTCCTTGTCGAAAGTGGTGCCTTGCCCTGCTGAATGTATTGCATGGTGGTGAAACCAACAAAACGTCCACAAGCCCTTGATCAATGTCCTTGAATAGATCATCCCACAGTTCTGTCTTTGACAAGTCATGGGAATGGTGAAGCTCAATATCGAGCTCTTTAAGCTCCAAGTGAAACATGCCATGTGCCAATAGTTGCAGCTGCTGTCTGATGTCTCAGCTGCTGTCTGATGTCTCCGCGCCTTGATGCGCCTGCAAACAAGTAGACCACCCGCAACGTCGGCAAATCTGTTGCCGTTTGTCAGTTCTTGTTGGGGGGTGCACTCTCAGCCCCTTGGGTCATGCCTTGGTAATGTTGCCACATTGGATGCGGTTTGCCACATCCCCGCACCCTACAAACATGAACTCTGCCGCAGCCGCCTTTGCAGCCTTGTGCATTGTATGCAAAACAAATCTGTCGATTGTCATCTGTAAAGGAAACCATAGAGTGCTCAGATCCACCTTTGCCTCCTTGACGTTGTTTCGACTTGCCTTTGCCACCTTTCTTGCCAGTTCCTTTGTGCCACTTATTCGGTGGCCCATTGCCTCCAGGAAACTCAGGTCGGCGCCAGTTGCGATTGTTGTTCGAAGAGGCATCTTCTGCCCGTCCGGATTTTCCTTGCAAGGCAATCGGACTGGTGAAATACTGTTCTTTCAGTTGAGCATCAGCGCACACCTCTTCCAAGCACTCACGTAGGGGCCTACTCTTTCTGAAAGCCCTCTTGACAGCTTCCTTTCTCAACTCAAACTCATAAGATAACATCACATTCCAAGGAGGACGCAATGACACCATCTCTGAGCTCCCTGCTGATGAGGCTGGCCCTGGAATTTTCATAAGATAACACTTGTCACCTAACAAGAAATTTGTATATTTCAGCCAGTCGTCGGGTGTCAGGCCATGTAACATTGGATTGTTACGATACTTTGCAGCAAGATAACACCACGTGTTGCCCTCGACGCGCAAGATCGTGCGCAGCTCCTCAGTGCCTTGCGGCAATTGGCCCTTCTGCCTGGACTTCACAATGCGAACATGACCTGAACTATCCACGGATGTCTGAATGCCCATGGTTTTGGCTGTCTTCTTGCTAGTGACCTCATTCAAATAAGACGCCACTGGCTCATGAGCTTCCAATTCCTCAATCTTTGAAGAAAGATAGTCATCTGAAGGCTCGTACGTCTCTTCGATCTCTCCATGTGTTGCAATGTAAGCTGCCCGCATGGCTGCCCTATCCGTCTGAGTCACCGGCCTTGCGACCCCTAGGAACCTGGCTTCTGCTTTGAGTTCTGCCTGCTTAGCTGCATACTCTCGGGAGGCTTCCCAAGCAGCTACAACTCCAGCCACTGCAGCTCTATTCTGCAAACTGTTTTCCTGGACCTGCAAATCATCTCTCAAAGCTTGCCTCACTCCCTGTCGGGTGTCTGCAATGGCACTGAAGCGCCTGAGCTGGCCAAACACCTGGGTGAGATTGTACTGCAAGGCTAATGGCACACCGTTCTCTTGTAAGATGTATGCCAAATCAGCTTCCACTCTGTCGTGCAAGAAGGCACGCATATCATTCTCTGTAACACCTGCTGGTGCGTTCATGGCCCTCTGCTTCCCTAAGGGGCTAGTGAGCCGTGGTTGCTTCGGGAATCTCTCACTTCTTCCCGTGCCATAGTGGCAAACCTATT